ATCTATATATATATATATATATATATAGATAGATTAATTTGACATGAAAACTCGTGGGACTAGTTCCTAGTAAAATTCGTTAGAGGGCCAGCGTTTCTCATTGGCTTAATTCAATTATTTTTCTTCTGGAGGTTTCAGCTCAGACGAATAGGTTGATACGTCGTTTAGTTAGTAAAGTTGACTAACGAGCCACTCTGTTATAAAAGGTTTAAATTTAATAGATATTATTTTCGCGATACTTTGGCTATCCAGAAACATCTTCCAGTTGCTGTGGACGTGGTAAAGCGTGTTAAACGGAGGAACATGCGGACATTTATAGAGCTACTTTTGTAAATTAGTATTTTATTTCTAAGCCACAAAAAAAGTACTTTGTGAACAAAAATAGCAGGAATGTTCATTTCGTAAATGGCTTCAAAGTTATATATTATATATATGTATACGTACACTCAAGGCTAAGAAGGGCTTTCTTTGACAGTAGGCTGTTTGACACATTGACTCACTCTGTACCAAGGCTACAATTTAAACTTTGTTCTCAGAAACTGCGCACTCACGATCGTTTCTTCAGGACTTTTAAGTGTTCATTTTATCGAATTTTTTTTTCATTTCGTTCGTTTATGGCCAGATTGAGGTGGATCTCCCTAACCACGTATAAATATCAAAATAAGTCAGCTTACCCTCTTCTTACTTTGTCGATTATTTTATTTCGAGAATTTTTACGAATAGATAATTACACAGCGTATCCAATTAGTAGATACACGTATTTCCGCTTTTGAAAATTGGTTTATAGCATATATTACTCCACGAAAAAATAAATCCTCATTAAAAATAAAGAAGCTTTGTGAAAACGAATGGATCTGGTAAACTCTGATAAATTGTAATAGCCTTTTGAGCGACTTTTCGTTCGAGTCGCTAAGACTTGAGCTGTTAATGATCTGTTTTTAATGTATATCGTACCTTGAATTATTATTGGCTGGTTTTTATTATGTGATAAAAACGTAAGGGGGAAACAGAAGAAGTTGTCAATTAAATATTAACTGAAAATAAAACTATATTTGATAACTGTCGAGAATTTTTCTCTTTTGAGCGCATGTCCAACTGTAGGATTTGGAAGCGTATGAAAAAACGCAGAACACCAGATGTGTACGTACACACAAAGGGGAACGTATGATAGCACAACACTTATCAAACTCGACAGTCTAAAACAGACCAGCTGCTACCAAAAATGCCCATTTCTACTCATAAAACAGAATTCCATGAATTATAATTAGTAGACTAGCGCCCGTTTTCCCTAATGCCCAGCTGTACCTCCCCCCCTCCCCTCTCTCTCTCTCTCTTGTTGTTTGATGATTTCAATAAAAGTTAAACATATGCAAAGCAGACACAGATGTCAGGAATATGTGTTTGTTTTTTTATAAAATCAACTGGCTGTACAAAAAGTTCCTATATTCTAAGACAAAGTATTTGAATGATGTCATCCCACCCCACTCAGCAAGTTGTCTGGGTATGAAATCATAAACTATCTCAGTTGATAGAAAAATATTAAAGAATTAGCCTTTACCACTGTATAAATAATCAGCATCTCAATATTCCTGAACGATACAACAGCCCCCTAAGTTAACAATTAATTTAATCTTGAGATACGCGTTTAAAGAAATTTGGTGAAATAAT